CACATTTATAAGATCTGAAGATGTTTTCCTTATAACTATTTCCTGAGGAAGGCTTACTGTATTCGGTAGATTGTCTCATTTACTTACAAACTTTCAAAAAAACTCTAGTTCTATTATATTCAAATTCCACACTTCCCTTCAACTTAGTGGCCCGCACTGTTAGCCTGCTTTGTCACTGCCCTTACGTTTTTGCCTCCAGCTTTAACTGATTCTATTCTTTGATTTCCTTACCCCAGCGTAGATTCCTTTTTAACTACAGATCTTAAAAGCGACACTAGCTGCTTTTTGTTCCTCGGAGGGTTTTTCCCCCCTTCAGGATAATTATATTCTGTGGTGCCTTTTATTACGGTGTCTTTTAGGATCTACTAACCTTTACACTCTTGGGCTCTATTTAATAGTGAGCTCCCTCCCCCACTCTCCACACTAAATCTTGCTCATTAGGTTTCTTAATCCTTCACAATTTGCTTTCATGAAATGTTATACCTTCCCGTTGGTACATTCTGAGTCCGTTTCCTTAGTACACCTATTCCAAGCAGCCCAGATTCGACAAGCACGGAACATAAGCTCATCCACTTTCTGAGCCGACAGGACTCTACTCTGTGCTATGTGTGTGCAGCATACTCTGTAGAGGCCTGTTGGCTCGGGGGGGGGGAATCTTTGTTTTGAATGTTTATGGACAATAAAACTATACCATTTAACTTGGTATTTCATTTTCTCACCCAGACATTACCTGAGAAGGTTAGGACGACAGAATTAGACACTGGGCAGACCTGAGCATACAGTTATAGGCTTCAGGTTTTTCTTGGTCAGAAAACTATCGTATTTTAATAGAAGAGAAATAACAATATCCTGATGTTATGTAGTGACTAGTAAATTCCAACTATATCTTTCTCTCATACTCAGAATTCAGAAGAGAAAAACATCTTTTTCCAGTTATTCTGCAAGAGCTCTGCTTTTCCAAATGGGTCGTTTCTAAGAGACATGTGCGTGTTCTTGAAACCTGACTACGCTGCGGCTCTGGTCCTTTCGGCAGCTCGTCCCCTGCTTTCTCTCCCAGTCTGCTCATCACGAGCACCTTTGCTGAGAGGTATGTACAGAAGGGGCAGCAGAGCACATTTTGGTTTTTGTTTTTAACTTCCTAGAGACTTTAAATTAAAAAACAAAACTTGTTAGTGAATTGAAAGAGTTAATGAAGTTTCCAAAGGTGCCTAGCTTATTCAAGCAAAGTTTACACTTCAACCCTGTGCGAGTTAACTTGTGATCCTCCCCATCCAAATGATAGAAAGCAAAGCCAGTAAGTTCTTTATTTAATTGGTTTGCATCCACACCCTGACCTCCGGGGCTCTGTTTACATAGCCTATCATGCAATATGCTCCACAGTTCCCTGCTTCTTTCAAAAGCGTGTTTCTCCTGAGATTTGATATATGGCTTTCATGTTTAATCACTACGTTAAACTCAATGCTCTGCTTCCTCCAGCATCAACTAACTTCCCTTCTTGGGAGGCGGGGAGAAGAGCACAGCTCTTGCTACTTCTGAACATAAAAGGAAGTCTGTTTTACTCTATTAGTAAAATCACCAGCTACACACACTCGTAGGGAAGCAACACTAATGCATCAACTAGGAGACAGTATTCAAATGGAAACCTTTTAAAAACTCCTTTAGAAAGATTGCTCTCAACTGGCAAAGCCAAAAACTTCAGATAATTGATTGAGTTATACTAAACCAACAGAAATGGAGTTTAATCAGTATATAACTCAGTAGTTCATGGAGGGCACAGCTAGATGGCAGCTAAAGTTAAAATCAAATTAATCAAGGATAGAACATCCCTTGGGTTCTCAGGTCATAAAATCTCTGCCTCTGGTTAAGGTTTTCTTAACCTTCACAACAAACAGAACTCTCATCTCTTTATTTATTTATATACTTAAATATTTTTATTAATTTTTTTTATTTTTATTTTTTAGAGAGAGGGGAAAGGAGAGGGGGGAGGGGGGAGAGAGAAACATCGATGTGAGAACATAACATTGATCGGCTGCTTCCTACACACCCCCTCGGGAATCGAGCCTGCAACCTGGGCATGTGCCCTGGCCTGGAATTGAGCCAGCAGCCTTTAGGTGCACAGGGCAATGCCCAACCAACTGAGCCACACAGGCCAGGGCAAAGTTTCATCTCTTCAACTGAATATGGAAATCCTTCCATAAGAATTTGTATGTGACCCAAATTTCGGAGATAGGAAAAAAAACTCAAAAAATTAATTGATCTCTTTCAATAAATCAAGACAATCCATAATTTCCAGGTTTTAAAAAAATCACATGAAATGTATGCATTTTACTTTAAAATATGTCAAGCAAAAGAAAGAGAAGTGAAACAAATATGGTAAATTGTCAACAGCAGTGAAATCTGATAGACATGTACGTGCTCATTATACTATACCTTCTACTTGTATATATAGTTGATATTTTTCATTATGAAAATTTTTGAAACAAAAAAATAAAGTTATCTATGGATTTGCTTTTGAAGAAAAAAACTGACACAATTTTAATGAGAAAAATTTAAATCACTTTCTAGGTTGGTCATTTTGGTATATATTCAACAACTGAGATTCTTTACCATTTGCTGACAAGGAAAACCCTCCTTCCTTCCTCCTGAATCTGACTCCACAGCCTGAAACTCATTTACACAAACTACAAATGTGCAATAAGCTCTGTATAAGTTGGATTCTTTACTTGAAAAGAAAAAAAACTGTGTGTGTGTGTGTGTGTGTAATTTTACTTTGAAATACTTTCCTTCATGGCTAGTCACTGACCATAGTATTTATTTTTAAGGGTTTTTTCCCTTAGTAAGATCGCATCTTCCTTCATTTAAAAATCGTACTTTGTCAGGAACACTGTTACAGCTGTATATAACATTAAACAGAGTGGTTTACTTTCTGTATTTGATGAACAATAGAGAATCTGAACCTATTAAAGTCATACATTTAATTGTTCCAATATGCTACCTTATTTCTACCAAAATTTGCATGATATAGAATGCCAAAGACTGCATTTCTAACTTCCTTTGTCATGATTTCCTCATTCAAATAAACTAAGAGTTTATAAGAAAAAATAATTATCTGTTTCTTAATTTGAAACCACCTAAATTCTTTCCACAACATATTTAAATTCAAAATTTAAAAAAAAAAAAACTTTTAATCAGTATTCACCATAAGATTTCTCACAGTACAGAACTTTATAGTTTTCAGACATGCAGATGTTGTCCATGATAGACATTAAAAAAAATTAGGGCTTGAAAAAAATAAGAATCATGAACAAAATCTTTGGTCACAAGAGTGAAAGATGTGTGTCTGTACAGATGTTATAACTATTTTCAGAATAAATACTAACCTTCACTACAGGAATTTAGCAGCACACTTAAATTTGGATTTGAAAATTTAACATAAATTTTCTGACTTTGACAATAGCTGCCTAATATTTCAGTTTTGTACGCCATTTCCAGGTTTTACCTTCAAAATGATCCTGGTGGACTTTTTCATATTTAAAAGCTATATTCCAGATCCTAGAGCCTAAAACCAGTTTCTGACTTGATGTTTTGGGAATTAAATCAGATCATAACAAACTGGGTTCTTAATAAATATTTGGTGACTGACTGGCAATGATAAAAAGACATTCAGTTTTATGTAAAAATTCATTCTTCATCAATTTTATTCACTTATGTTTACTATACTTAAAGATTTTAACTAGTAAAAATGACAAAGATTTTTCACCCTATTTTGAGTCACCTCCTATAAATAAATAAAATAGCTAAATAGTTGATACAACCCACCATGTCTTTAGTTTCTGTATAGTCAATACTATAAACCAGAAATGCTTATTTTATACTATCAACATCACATGTGATTCAGAAGCCCAAGAACACACAGATGGAAAGATTTCTGGAATCCCAGTTATCAAGTTATTTGAAATTATTAACTCAAATGTACAGACTTCGTATTTAAAGTCTCACCAAGTTGGAGAAATTCATACATCTATGCAACGAAAGAAAGAATAAGCTTTTGAAGAAAAAAAGTATGTTGATTCCTTAACACCACTATCAAAAAATGTATACATAAGTCTTGGTTCCTTTGTAAACATAATAAACAAAAACTTTCTTTAAAGTTAAAACACAATGGAACTCAAACCAGAATAGGAATGTTACTTTTAAATTCAATAAGTTATATATTTTTCTGTGTATATTATTTCTCCTGGAATGGAAAATTAATGTTTATTTGTCTATTAACAGTTCACTAAAGAGCATAATTCCTTTGCACATACATGAAGCCATTTTTGTGCTTTAATTGTAAACACCATCAGAAACTCTGAAGCTCACAAACCTCAGCAAGTGACATAGAGACAGTCAAACATAAGGATTATATGGCTACATTCATGCTTAATGAGAAGAAAACACCTAATAATGAGGCTGATATGCCACTGTTTGTGAGAATGTATATTTTGTCTTGATAGATACAAAATAATGGCTTAAAGTGACCTTAGTTTTCCATTACCCTCCCCCAACAAAACAATTGAAAAATAACAAGTCACACTCAAATATCTATTTCTACTGGCTAAAACTCTTTATAGTTTGCTGGATTTGATGTATCTATTGCCCACATTTGATGACAAGTCACTTGCAGAGAATCTTCTAATTATTTAGGATACTCTGTTCACTAAGAGACTACTATTCTATTTTGAGCAACTATTATGTACAACCCCCAGCTCTGCTTTTAAAATAAAACTGCAGATAGAGAGCATTTAATGCTTATTGCAGAACTATCAAGAATCCCAGAGTGAACACCTCAAGCTAGGATTCCAAGCAGCTAAGAGCCCTGCTTTGAGGCGGGGTTCATGTTTTGAAAAGAGACTGCCTCGTCTGTTTAAAATCAAAATGGTTCTTGATCTGATGAATTACTCCTCAGAGAATAATGTAAATAAAATATACTCAGAACAACATTATTAATGTAAACATACCTGAACCAGAGTCAAATTTGGTTTCTGACCTGCAAAGGGAAAGACATTTTTTTACAATATAAAAATTGCTTGTTAAAGAATAACTGTTATTTTATGGGGAGGGCTGGGGGGTAGATGCAACAGTTACAGATTTCAGTACAATGGTCAACAAGTAAAAGAGCTTTTAAAATGTAAATACAGATTTATTTTAACAATTTTAAATGCATGCAGTACCCTAGGTCCCCTAAACATGCACATATCTGTAGAGATAAGCACAGTATGGAAAAGATATTAACTTTTTAGCTTGTTTTTGAGAGAAAGGAGGTAAATTATGTTTTTTTAAAAAAAGCACCCAGTCTCTGCAGATTAACTTGTTTCAGTAATAAAGCAATAAAACACACACACAAATTTAAAACTCTCCTCTTGACTTATTATTAAAGATTTTTAATTATTCAACACCAACTAATTTTTCACTAAGTTCTTCACAGAGTAAATGAACCTAGTAACCCCACATGTTTAATAAGTAGAAGAAAAAAATCTGAGCCCTTGTGGGAACATTATGTTTCAGATACAGGTTAATACTGGTTGTAAATTCAGGAGCCTTTGAAGCTCTCGGTTCAGCTGTGGGAAAACTTCTGTTAGGTAATTACTCTCGAGATGCTGCTGATGTGCTGTCAAGCAGAATTAACCCTGAGACTAGGCCTATCTACACAAGCTCCTCTAAGACAGCATTGTCTATATCTAGCTCTCAAACCAATTAGTGGGCATGCTCCAGTCGGGTTTATATCACACATTAACAATCAATAGTATATATGTTCACAGCTGCCACCCCAAGATACAAGAACCGGCCAGCAGGAGTCCTGTCAAAGGATGTTACATGGACAGAGAAGACTTTTTTTTTCCTGGGGAAATGTAGTTAACTAAGTGGGAAAGGAGATTTCTTTGAAATCATGCCAGGGTACCAAAGCACTTTTGGAAGCGGTGGCTTTCTTTACTTAAATTAGCACCGAGAGAAGTCATCAAAGGGGGGAGGGGAAAGAAGATAAGCCAGAAGCAGCCTCTTGGGTCATAAAAATTTATTTTCTCAAGTATTCCCAAGTAAAGTTTCACCTGAGGCTTAAACAAAGTCAGTAATTGCAAGAACAAAAAGTTGTTATTATTATAACCATGGCTATCGATGACCACCACGGTCATCCAGGGCCCCCCGTCTGCATCTCAGTCCCTCTCTTGGACGTCCCTAACCTCTATTTCAGGAGCAAGCCCACTTTCAGGCCTCGTCCTGTTCTGGAAGGCTGTGCGCAGGCCCCTTTGCCTCCGCATCCCTGAGCATCACTCTAGGCGACACTGGTCACGCCCTGTCCTGCTGGTTTCCTTGCCTGTCTTACCAGACTATGTCCTCTGAGCCTTTGTAGCCACGGCACCTGCACAGTGCTACATAGAGTCTGCTGCTTGTACTCGACAAATGCCTGTTGAGGGAAACTTCTGCCTCCACACACATCTTTATCTCCTTCTTACCTGCAGGTTCCTCTTTTCATCTAAGGTTCCCTCCTGCTTATGTCCTAAAATGCATTCTCTCATCTCCCTGAAGACAGGCTGCATCAACTACTCCTCTCTCTGCCATGTCTTCAGTATCTTGGTCTCCACAGGTTCCTCCTCTCTTTTTCTTAGAAGTGCCCCAAAAACCAATTAGAAGCCTTCCTTCAAATCTATGCCCTGCTCCTGTCCTCCCTCTTTCTGACTTTATAATCCAGTTTATTGAAAGGACGGACTATATCCTATGTTGCATGTCTTCCTTTCCCGACAGTCACTCTTTGAACCGCTATGATCTGCCCTTGCTAACTAAGGTTTATCAGCGTCTTCCTAGTGCTAACTCCGAAGGCCCTGTTAGGGGCCCCGCTTTACCAAACCTCTCTCAAACTAGCACACAATACTGCCTGTAGGTCACACTGCAACCTCAAATGCAACATTACTAAGCTAAATTCATTTTCTTTTCCCTCAAATATAATTCTCCTGCTAACTTCCCTATCACTTAAGCTGGAAATTATGTTATTCTAGTTTTCTTCTGCACCCTAATCTCTCATTAGCCACCAAGACCTGTTGATTCTACCACCTTCCCCTCCTCTCTGTCCTCACTCTAACCATCTTTGGGCCTATCTTTGACTCAAAAATCTCACAACCCAGTCCCCCCTCCTTTTCAATCCATCATCTAATCAGCTGCCAGATGTTTCCAAAACATCAGTCTGATCACAGTACTACCACCCCCACAACCGGAGCAGTTTTTTTCAAACTTGGGCCACAGGCTGACCCATTAGTGGATTATAAAATCAATTCAGCATATTACAACTCGTATTTTTTTAAAAAGTGAAATGCAACAGAAAAGAAGACAGAATGCACTCCACATACGGAGAATATATGCCGTTTTGTACAGCTCTTAGGTACAGGTGCTTGAATGGTGTGTGTGCATGTTCACACGTGTGTGTACTGGGAAGTGCTACCCTTGCAAGTGAGCAAAAAGCCTCTGCTCCGGCCTTCCTCTGGCTGCGCCCCCCTCTCCAAGTACTCGGTTCCCCAGCGTTCCCCACCCAAATGGCTCTGAGCCAGCTTCCTCGGCCTCTGTGGGCCCTTTTCTCAGGTCAGGTGTGCTAACTGGTGCGTGACCGTCCAGCCCAAGGGGTAGCCAGAGGCTATGACGTGAAAGGGGACGCGTGGACCTTAAGGCAGAAGGAAGAGGGAACAAAGAGGACAGGGCAGGGCAATATGCTTTCCCTACTCTTCTGTGTTCCTGCTCAGAGGAATCTTAACTCAAACCCCCCTGCGAGAGTGGGGAGCTGAGCGCTCCAGAGGCCAGAGGTTCCCCCATGGACGAGACTGGGGTGGACTGGACGGCCTTGAAATTCAGATGCCTGGCTAGTGGGATAGGGAAGGACCGACAAAAGAGGCCCTCCCCCCGGAAAGAGGAAGAGAAAGGTGTTTCTCAGCCTGCACCCAGTATCCTCAGCCTTCACCCAGCTCATGGCTGACAAACTTTTACTCCACTGTCAAGATTCACTTCAATCCTCTCAGCACCCTGCCTGCCCCCTCACCTCCCGGGGCTCCTGGCTCACACCCGGGTTACTCCACAGTACGGGGCCTGGCATGCAGCCCCCACACCGTGGAGCACTAACACAAAGCTCAGAGAGCTGCGGACTGGGTCTCGTCCATCTTCCTATTCCCAACACTTAGCAAGGCATCTGGCATCTAAGAGTTATTAAAAACCTTAGTGGGAACAAATGAACAGATGGATCTGTAAATTGACAGAAGGCCAAACACAAGATGCAGTGGCCAAAAACTTCATCAATGCCTCTTGAGAGATGAAAAATCGTATCAGAAAGTTTTCATGCCTCAGGCCATCTTATTTTCTCCAGGGATAGCTGGTGAATGTGTAAAATAGATACATAAAGTGCAGAGAAAGCATCTTCACGAACTAATTAATGACCTTGGGTATCCGTTTTTTATATATAAAAAAGGAGTATTTCTAAAAAAGAGTATTTATTAAAAAAAGAGTATTATATTTGTTTGAATTTTCAAACAAAGCACTGAAAAATACGACTATGCTTATTAATAATAAAACAATAATAATAGAAGTTAATACTGTCAGATTGAGAGGTGGGGAAAACTGGCTCTATGGCATAAGTTAATTCAGGTTTCTCAGATGTCACATACACACACTCATATACACAGGGGCACACAATATTCCTACATATATATTGTGGACTAACCTTTATCCATATAGCCTCTTAGAAAATAAGTAAATATAGATAAGAACAAAACAAATGGCAAGTAAGAAAGAAAGAATTCACACAATACAGATTATGCAAGAGAGGCAAAGAGTTCATTCATTCCAAACACATTTCTTATGTGCTTATTTTCAGTAGTATATTATGCTAGACAGTAGGGAGGTGAAAAATGCATAAAGTAAGGTTATATGGGGCATAAGATGCATAAATATAATTGTCTCCACAGAAACCCATTTTAACCCTTGATTACGTACTTACATTTAAACTTAAACCTATTCAACCAGTTCCTTTGACAACTGCCAAAAGATGGTGAATACAGTATAGACTATTACTGTGTCTTCCAACTTCTATTCTCCCCTTTTTTATTTTAGAAATGGAATCTCTGCGTTTTAGATGGGCACACGGCTACCTAGTTAAGACAATTTTTCCCAGCCCTCCTGTAGCTATTGTTATCACGTGACCAAGTTCTTGTCAAAAGGATACAAGCAGAAGTGATGTGCAGAACATCTGAATTATACCCCTAAAGGGAGTGACTGCACTCCTCCCCTTCTTCCCCTCTTCTACCCAGGGCTGCAATGTAGACGTGATTCCAGCAGCTGAAGCACATCTCACAGGTCATGAGAGAGAAGCTGGTAGAGCAACAGCCTTTGGCCAGTCCCTGGGCAGCAGGTACACACACACCCCAACTGTTACCATGTTTAGTCCACGATTATTTTGGAGTCTTGTCAGAGCAGTTGTAACAATATCACCACATTAAAAAAAGAGTAAAACTAAAACTTCCAAATTTTGAAACTTGCAAAGATTTTACGAATTTAAAAAACCATAAAGGGTAGATGCTAGAAGAATTTAAGTATTATTACTTTTTAAATAATTATAATATATACTATATACATTCTGATAATAGAGTTGCAGAGTTTCAAAAGAGGGCAGTTTTACTCACTGGTTAGAGTTGTATAATCCTAGACAAATTTATAAAACTTCTGTTCTCTGTTTATAGGGAATAACCCAGCATCCATGAAAGCTCTGTGTATTGAAGTCAAAAGGTTTTCTATACTGTACACTTGAAACTAATACAAAATAATATATTTTTTACAGTTTTTATTTATTTTATTATTTTTTAAATTTTGTCGTCTTCTGAGGAACCCACAAAATCTCAGAGAACACTGTTTTTTGCTTCATGTTCAACTGTGGTAAGTTTTTTGAAATGGGAATCGTGTGAGTATGAACTATAGGTTAAACAAAGTCAACGTTCCAAATGTTTCAGACAATATGTA